GTAAGAGGGCACCATCGCCGCTCCCATCGCTGTCCCCGAGAGTTGTAGAAAAAATTGTTTTTCAAATTTAAAATAATTACAGGTCAAGGCATTATGTAGGAATTCCAGTAAGAATTCAATGGGAGGTCCTGTGTATACTGTGGATTCACTCAAAACCGTTCTAAGAGCCTGTAGCCCCTCTTGGTGGTGTATGATGGTATACAGGCTCTGTACGTCTAAAGTGACAAGTGTTGACGATTCGTCAATCGTAGGTGTTAACTTTATTTTATGAATGAAGTCCCGTGTGTCCCGTAGACAAGTGGGGAGTGCCACTACACTATTGGACCAATATTAATATAGTCGTTTTTTTTTTTTTTTTAAGTCCTCACTATTAGTGGTGATCACTGTATTGCGTTTATATCATGCTATTTGGTAGGTATTATAGCTCTGTATATTTCACAGGGCTTTATGCCATTGCACAGATAATTCTCTGCCTAATCCGAGCTGTTTCATGTTCACTACATATTTGCTCGGGTTTGGTTTACCCGTTTCCTAGCAACCACATCATGGTAATGGCCACGCCCATACGTCACATGACGCTTCACTTACACTTCCGGGTTCGGACTAATGGAAACCGGTGTGCACTGTTTGTTTGGTGAGTAACTCCTCCTATGTTGCTTATATATTTGTGTTGTATATGTTTGTATATTGATCTTGAGGAAGACCTGAAGAGGTCGAAACGTCGATCAGATGTATGTTACCTGTTATTAAATAATATCGAGTTTTTTTTCTACAAAGACCTGAGAGTGCATCTCTTTCCTTTTTGCTTTACATATCCAGCGTGGGATTGCACCAAGGCAGTCTTTTATTGATTCATTGAAAGGGTGAGTGCCACTATACTTGTGTGTGTGTGTATGTGTATATATATATATATATATACACACACACACAGCGAGCAACGACACTCACCTATAATGTCTTAAATGCTTCAGTGTTTCGCAGCATATGCCTGCGCATAATCTAGTGTATATGGTAGCCTCATGCATGAGTGGCGGGTTACGTGTTCCACTCCTTGCAATACTCTGATAATATACTTCTGCTCTACTTCAAGCTACAAAAGTTTTACTCAATTGTACCAAGCCTGTTATCTCTTATAAAATGTAAATGTGCTGTTTACTCTGTCATGATATTGTATGACCCTGAATAGCTTGTATACGCTGTCGTGGCGCTGTTTGTCTCTTCAGCTTCTCTAAGCATAGCACTGTTTACAGGTCCTTCAGTAGCAGAGGCACAGTAAAATTTGCTGGTGGAATTTGAAAAGATTTTGCAGAATATTCGAATACTGATGTCATTCCTTTTTGAACAAGGCAGAAATTAATGATGCCAGACGGTTCTTACTTTTCTGTAATTATCCTCAAGACAATCAACATGTTTTCTTTGGGTACCATAGTCTGAATTAACTTACTAATGGTTTATTTCTGCAGGGGAGACCAGCCGTATATTACCATTGACGGAATTAAGTTTAAATCAGAACCCAGCAAATATTCCTAAGCTCCGACTTGCAGCCTACGGCCATACAAGTCTGAAAGTGTCTGATCTCGTCACATCTCAGAAGCCATCCAGACTTGGGTCTGATTAGGACTTATATGGGAGACCAACTAGGATCCTCGGGTGCCGTAAGCTTAATATTGAATTATTATTCAGAACTTTTACCTTTGGTATTCCTCAGCAACAAAGTGTTTTCTAAGATTCTGTTATTGCAGCAGCCTCTATCCCATCGGTCATTTGGGCAAAGGCCAGAAGAGACCTCTTCAAAGAAGCACTTTCAGCTTCTGGTACTAGCAAACCTACAACTTGGACATACCTATGTATCGCGTCATGCATGCTCTGCAGAGTTTTTTGTTTTCTGGTACACCTCTTCCCGTTTCCGTCAGTCTGGTGTTTTTTCTTTCCAGATGAGGTCGTTCAGAAATTTGTCTGGTGCTTCAGGTCTCAGCTGGGGTTCTCATATGGGTGATATGAAGAAACAGGGAATTTGGCTGAAAAATTTGAGAAGTTTATCCAACTACATAGTTCTGAAGGCTGTCTGGCTAGCTATCATTGCCTTTCAGATGTAGACCAGGTATTATCATGTAACCGTGTGTGGTTCCCTTATTTACCACTATAATGTCTTAAAGCATAGAACTTAGTAGGGCTAACCATACAGATATCTTAGCCATAATTTTATATAGTGTAAGAGATCCTCTATTTAACATATATAAATAATTGAGAATACAATATAAAATAAGGATTGTCTTGGAAGCAAGATTGTCTTTTGGATATTTATTATATAAAAATATAAAATCCATTATAGCAGAGTTTATAAGATTAAATTACATGCTTGCAAATATCATTAATAGGTTAACATACCCTTCTGAACATGTCATCATGTCAGCCTCTCTGTCATTTTAAGATGGAGCAGCGTCTGTCTCCAAGTCTCTCCTCTGTGTCTTAACATTTAAAAGTACACCTATTTATACCTTAGGTGTCTCCATTTTGGGATTATTGTAGTTCTTTTACTTTATTCAATTTAGGACCTCCCTTAATTTGGCAAACATACAAGGCCATAACTAAAGGGTGTATACGTCATGAAAATTTTCCTGACTTAGTTCAAGATGGCATCTTAAAGTCTAGGTTATCTGTTGTTTATACTAAGTCGTAAGTGTACAGTCGTGGGAGATTCCCGGATTTGGGGAAGTTCCATTAACTTGGGGTTACCACAGTATATTGTGTACTGCAAGAGTCGTAGTATAGCCTTGAAGCTTGTTTATGCATTATTGTTATTGTAATTCGTCTGGGACAAAATGGCGCAAACATATTATGCACTGAGGTTATTGCTTAAAGAAACATCTATGAAAAACAAAGTGTTCCATTTCTAACACCTTGTCAATTTGCAATTATTCTTAAAGACAAAGTACACAGTTTAAGAAATACAACATTTCATTCTAAAACTTGTAATATTTGCATTTGCCCGTAACACCCTCTCCATTAAACTGTGGGCATTGTAGCGCATTTCTTTCTTAAATTAGTAAACCAAAGTTCTCCAACTGTCTTTAGGTTTTTTATGCTCCCAGCATCTTAGATCATTGTTGTAACAGTAAAATATCCGTAGTGTGATCTTTGCCTGTAAAGGTGGTTGATTAAAATGAGCAAAGCTTTTGTCTGGGAAAGAATTGAAAAGAACACCAAGTTCCAGAGTAAGATATACTTGGATGGATCCGGATACGAATTGTAATCCAAAGTTAAAAATAGTAATTGTATTTGTAATCCAAAGTCTTTAAAGGCCTGTAGAAGTTTACATTCCTTAGATACATTGCTGGAGGTTGTGTTTGTAGAATACCCGGGTATTTGTTGTATAGTATTGGTTGTAGAGTCCAGCTTTCCAAATATTTGGCTAGAATTGGTTGCAGATATTGAATCAGCATCATCTGTTATCACCGTGGTGATGGTGTTGGTATTTGTCTTTGCCTTTTATTTTGTTTTTTCCATGAAACATTTTTACACAGTTTATGATGTGTATAGATTTTATACTCTCCGATATTCTTTTACGGAATCAATTAATTGACATAATTTCCAAGACATTGTCTTAAGTGACATGGATCCCGTTATAGTAAATGTTATGTTGATACAGCAATTGAAGTGGATTCCCAAGAATGCCTCTTTTTGCTGTATTGGAATCTTTGTAACATCTCAGTGATAGACATCTCACTGACATCAGGTGCTGTTGTGCTAAAAATGTTAACAGGTAAAATCTGTGGAAAAATCTTTACATTTGTTATAGTTTGTATAATAATGATAGATGAAATAGTAACATAGTTAATCTTTCTAGTGTTTTGTTTTAAAGATAAACACGCTTGTATATGATTTAGATATAAAGAATAATTTGAAGCAGCAAAGTATTTACCGCCCTTGTTCACAATGGTATGTAAAATTACATTCTCTTTAAATGTAAAAAATACTCCTTTATTCAAAATCTCTCAATATATTTAGAATAGTTGCTAATTGGAAATATGACGTTAATTATCTTTCTTTGACCTGTTAGGGAGAAGACAACTTATTCCCTAGTTATTATTAGTAAATATAATAACTACAGTTATTAGTGGCTTAAAATACCAGAAACCCCCAAATATTGTCTTAGAAAACATTTTTTTATTTTTTATTTTAACCAAGATCTGACAGCCATTGTGGAAAGTTACATTCGTGAGATTGGATGCTTAACAATGTGAATCTTAATTGTTTAAGTATATTTACCAGCGGCTGTTGGGTGTAGCTTAAGATGATTAGAAGTTATTATTATTTCTAAAAGTGAGTTAAGAAAGCACTCCGATACAATATTGAATGTATTTATATTTTAACTCTACCTTTGTATAGGTGGTTTTATGTACCTTTAACCATTACAAACCAAATAACATTTTCTTGGTATTTGAAAAACTGATAAAATATTCGATTACGTGTATTTTAATATATATATATACATAGAGTGGTATGGATGTTGAATTTATATCTTTGACATCTTTTCACCAGTTTGCAATAGGTGACCTAAATGATCAATTTCCAAAATCATCATGTATATCACCTGGACGGGTTAATCCACAATACTCTTTTACTTTCCATTGACTGGCCTTGGCTCTGGCAAACTGAATATTTTTATCATTATAAATAAACTTTATGATAGTTGAAGTAAAGTTTCTGCCTGTCTTTCAGTTAAATTTTAACTGTTGAAGTATTTCACTTATATTAATTATACCACTCTGCAAACTTAAACGAATATCGAGTAGTTTCTGTTTTAATAAAAACATTTTATATTTTCTTCTAAAGTTTAAACCTTATTCATTATTGCAATTGTTATTGCAATCATATGATCTTTAACTATCATGATTCAATTATTTATCTGGGTAATTAGCTAGTATGCTCTTATACGTATGTTTAATATATTTGTTTGTAGGCCAGACTGCAGCTGCATATGGCATTTTAGCAATAATCTTCAATTGCGTTTCAGATATTCACAAAGTCTATCCACCTTTGTAATTAACACATTATGTGTTATGTGTTTCTTATACCATTATAGTATCTGTATTATATTACACATTGTCACTGACACATTTCTGATACAGGGAAAAAAAATAGCATGATTGCTTTAGTAATTATAATTTTCGGTCCATGCACCACATTCCTGGAAGTCCAGAATATAGCAAGAATTCTTTGTTGTTTGATTCAATGGAGCCATTTCACGTTTTGATTGGTATAGTTATACCAAAAGAGCAAGGAGTACGACGGTAGATCACATCTGCAACAGAACCATTACAGATTCCTTGTTGTATCAATGTCGCTGTGTTTATGTTTACAGGAGTTCCTTGCTTTGCAGGTATGTACATAATATTTAAGAAAAGCTGCAAATCGTGCTTTAGTACAAGTGTCCTATGATTTCAGGTTTCTGAAAGGTTTTGCCAGCCTTTTATATTCCATTCTCTTGGCAGTGCATCTGCTCTTCATAGGCCGGTATTGTTATTATTTATTAATTGCATCAAGGTTTCTTTTGTTAATTGATGTGTTTCTTCCGAATTCAAATTCATATGCCACCAAATGTCATTGTAAAGTTCATTGTTGCAGAATATTGTTCCAGGATTGTTTTTCTCTCCAGTAGGAAATCTATATTCCTCTTCTTCTGATCCTTCCTATTAACCACTTTTTCTGAGTTGTAGTTAACAATCTGTGTCTTGTACTGTGAGGTGCTTTGATAGTCAATCTGGTTTTGTCAGTACCATGCTGCATCTTGAAAAACAGCTGGGTGTTGGCAGTTATCAGCCTTAATTTCTTTTTCCGGTCATCTTCTGTCTGGATAATAGCAATGTCCAGAATTAGCATAGCACTTCTTTTCAGCATAAGAAGGCTGTCTGCGGTAGTCATTCAATGATAAACTGTATGGCAAAGTATTTTCTTGCATCACCTTCATAGGTGCATCCAAAGTCTTTCATAAGCATCTTTCCTGTCTTTTTCTGTTTCAAGCATGCTTTGCCATCGTCGTTGATTCCATTATTAGGATTTGTAATAGTCCAATCACATTTTTCTCATGTATAATCGGTTTTTGGAGTGATCTCAATAGGTTCCTTGTGAAATACCAGTGTAGGCAATCATTTCACTGTGAGCTGTGTCTCTCCTTATGAGATAGTTCTTGGAGGTAGTCCTCTCGATCAAAGAACTAGTATAGTGTGCAGTCCAATTCAGTTCAGGTGCTTCCTGCTTGTTAACATAATTCCAATGCAGTTTTAAAACGACAGCTTGGGTTGATGTTATGATAATGCTGCAGATGGTAAGAAGGAGACACCATAACCAATTTTCTAGCATCCTTTTGCTTCCATCTTTGCATTTCTTTCTTACTGTATAAGATAATTCAGGTACAGTCTGTTTTCTCCAGAGTCTTTCTTATAATGATGTTGATGATTCATTTTTCATACATTCCATGTTAACTGTGAATGTATCACGTCTGTCTGTTCATCCTTCTCCTTCACATTTGCAGGTTCAGATGTCAGATCACAATTCAGTCTGTTATGTGGCTATGATTCTGGTGGCATTTCTGTCGTCCTCTGTTTATCTTGTCATCTTTAACAGCATCCATTGTATCAGTCAGTGGTTCTGTGAACGTCCTGTTAGTATTTAGCAGGTTGTAAAATATCAAAACTTACTGTTCTCTGTTGGCTCTGATTGTTCTCTGTAGTAAAAGTTATCTGAGTCACCCTCTCCAGGACGAACTGGCCAACAGTAAGAAAAAGTTGGTAGTGCAAGGCGAGGTGGGCTGGAAAAAAAATTTCCCTAAATTTCTCTAATAGAACCAATGGTTCTAAGCTCTCCCTGGTGCAGAAATATGTTTGTCAGTGAAAAACATGTAACATTTCATATGGTGTCTCACCATTTGTATCATCAGGTATGTTGTGAATGCTTATCTGTACCATAGGAATAAATAGATACCACTGTGTGGGGCAAGCAACTAGTAACTTGGTTAATAATCATTTAACCTCAGCATTTTCCCAGACCACAACCCCACTTCTTTGGGGGTGGTTGGGGCACTGAAATCCCAAAGTAACCCAAATGTGGTTGCCCAGTTTTAGGTTTCCTTTGCAGTAACTGCAGGACCACCATCCAAATGGATGGTCCTGGGATTATCAAATGCATACTAAGGAAGTGAGACTAGAAAACGTGGCATCAGAGGTTGCACTTCGCACAGGATATATCCAAGTAAACCTGGTACATGCATCAACACATACAAAAACATATTTATAACCATGAGATGTTGGCAAACTTTCAATATATAGTAATTCAAAAAGTACGTTAGATATTAATATTTCAATAAACAGTACATCAGTAATGTGGCAATAAGCAAATGCTTATGATTACTAAACACATGAATTACAGTATTTCCCATATTGGACCACCAATATTCCTTTTCAGGAGTCAGAAGTACATTACCTCTCTCTATAAGAGCTTGTCCTAGCCATGAAAAAGCTTTTAGGGCAAGTCCATCTTTCCTCTATAGGAAGAACAACCAACATATTACCTTCAATGGTTATTATGTAATTAACCCCTGTAAACGATAGGAGTATTTATGCGGATACCAGGTGGATAAGGTCTGGATATCCTTGCAAGCATAAACTCTGCATCATGACTGAGAGATAGGGTATGCGATGTGATCCAGTGACCACAGAAAAGCGTTGGTAGACACATTGCATCAAAGTGCCTGTTAATGACCAACTACATGAGGAGAGGGCCCATGCTTTGTTATAAGCATGTCCATACACATATTACAATGCCAGGCTTTCAATTTGTTACCACAAAGCAAAATGCAGTTGTGGATATAAACTCACGACGTATCGTAAGAAAAACTGTTTGAATACCAGACTGAGATTCGAGATCAGTGAACAGTGGACCAAAATAGATAAATGAAATCCTATCAATTAATATACTTTCAATATACTTTATTTAAATTACTTTATTCTCTGTATTAACTATGAAATATTAAAATTAAAACAATAACATTTAAAAGCCAACTTTTAGTGTGCATAGGAATTACAAGGCCGTTCATAATGTGAGATAAAGAACAGCTTTTTAAAACCGAATAGTCTGTGAACACAAGATGACCTTGCGCTGAAAACTCACTTGCAGGGGAAAAATAAACTTTTATTTTTTTATTTTTTCTTTAGTAAGTTAATTAATTAAACATAGTTAGAACCTCCCTCAAAGTCCCGATGACTTTGCAAGAAACATGTCATCCTTAAATACTGGGTAAGTCTATTAAACAGTGACATAGCATTGTTACCATGTGTATTATTTTGTCACAGCTAAAATGTGCAGTATTGCAAACTATTTTATAAGTGTTGTGCAAAGTGTTCATTAAAAGCCAGTGATCTAGCGAGCTATAGAACATTTATTTATTTATTCTTTAAAGCTCTGACCTCAATTGGCAAAGCAATATTGTAATGGTGTCCATTGCAATCTGCTGTTTTACTTTAAAAAATTCAGAGATTTCTTGGGCAATAATAAATCCCCAAAAACAACAACTTTGCATTTATGCTAAACCTGCCTGTTGTAAAGGTATTCTGTATATTTCTTGACATAAGTACTTGTACTTGAATCTGTTTAACAAAGCTATTTATATTGTGGTGTAAAATAAATATATTTTTATTTTTATTATTTATTTATTTTAACATTGCTTAAATTTTAAAGATACCTGCATATTTAATTAAATATCCTTTATATGTCTCTAAGGCATATGTTATTTAAAAACATTTAAGTCTGGAATCTGATTCCTTTTGGGATGAGCACCCCTCTGAGCCCCCCCATTTCAGAGGCTTCTTTGGAGGTGACCACAAAAAAGTATAGATTCTATAAAATAGATGTGAGGGGGCTTTGGACAGTAATGTCACTTTAATTATACTTTTCATTTGGCAGATATGTGATATGCAATGTGATTTAATATATCAGAGTATTATCACTTTAATTGACACTGCATTTTTTTATGCATTATTCTTTATGCATTATTATTTTTCTTTTCTTTTTTTTTAATTTGAATGTCTGTTTAGAATATTGCAGGCTTTGCGATATCAAATAAATTTTGCATTATATATATTCACAGTGCTCTTACAACAAATTATTAAAATTAGCCTCTTTCAGAATTGTAGAATATGTGGTGGAACTGAATCCCCATATATGAGATTTAAAACTGTATTTTTAGTTCTACTCTGTGCCCTAATCAGTATTTATACATAATTGAGGCAGCATATAGCTTTTAAAGAAGCAATTATTTCACCCTTCATGTGTGGTTGACTGTGGACTTTGTAAAACCTATTTTTTTTTTTATAAATCCAGTTCTGGCTCTGAGAGAGCAGGCTGCTGAATGCATGTAAATGCTCTTATTGCTTGGTCTATATACTTTTATTTATAAACAACATTGATATATTTATATATAAATAACTTTGAAATTTAATTTTATATTTATTTTATGAAAACCTAGTTTATGAAATTCACTGAGATTACATGTGTCTGATCTGATTACAGTCAGTAGTACAATATAATTGTTCTAATTTCCTTACTGCTAGTACGGTGGGATAGTACCACTGATTTAAGTAAGCTTTCCCTTTTAAAATTGGTGGACTTTACTGCCATTGCAATAGACTAAAGACTGTACCTGAGTAAGCAAAGTCATTATGTGCAGGAATTGTGCACTTTAAATAGTAGAATACTTATGCTATTCTAGTGAATTGGGCTGGCTGCTTAACACATCATTTAATATCTTTTGATCACATTTAAAGCTGTAAATGTATTTAACATTTTATTTAAATAAGCCTTTAATAATTTCAGTTTAAAAGTTATCAGAGATCCGGTATAGTTACCATTTTATTTTGCCCCGCTTTATCTTACATATATATTATTTTTAATCATTTTATAAATATTTATTTTTGCAGAGGATTTAGCAAAGCAAAGGATGTATAACCACCTGTTGCCCTTTTTTCTAGGAGGGTAGTATAATTTCAACTCTGTTAAGGAAAAAATATGAGCTAGTTAGCATATATTATATAAAATATATGCTGCAGTGTACTGCATTGTACTGCACTGAATGTATTTAAAAGCCATGTCTTTCTCTTTATGGCTGTATGTAATAATATTGTTCATAATTTGGAATATAAAACGACTTCTCAATTCCTTGGAATGTTTACATGTCTCTATATCTCCGCAACCTTGGCTGGAAATTCCAGACTCCAAAAATAGTTATGCTGTTATAATTCCTGATTTTTAATCAACAGCTAACGTAACGGACAATATGGAAATTATCACTGTTTTATAAAACCTTTCATATAT